TACACAACCAATACACAACCAATACACAACCAATACACAACCAATACTGTATATAGACAATATACAACCAATACACAACCAATACTGTATATAGCTAATATACAACCAATACACAACCAATACACAGCCAATACACAACCAATATATAACTAATACACAACCAATACACAACCAATACACAACCAATATATAACTAATACACAACCAATACAACCAATATATAACTACTACACAACCAATACACAACCAATACAACCAATATATAACTAATACACAACCAATACACAACCAATACTGTATATAACCAATATACAACCAATACACAACCAATACACAACCAATATATAACCAATACACAACCAATACACAACTAATACACGACCAATACCCAACCAATATATAACCAATATACAACCAATATACAACCAATACACAACCAATATACAACCAATACACAACCAATACACAACCAATATACAACCAATATACAACCAATAGGGCGACTGTGGCTAAGTGGATAGCAGGGCCATCTTTCAATCAGAGGATTGGCAGTTCGATCCCCGGCTCCGGCTCCGCTAGTCGCATGTCGATGTGTCCTTGAGCAAGACACTTAACCCCAAAATTGCTCCCATAGTTGTGCCTACGGTGTAGAAATGTGATAGACTCTGAATTGTAAGTCGCTTTGGATAAAAGCGTCTGCTAAATGACTGTAATGTAATGTAATATACAACCAATACACAATATTGATCAGGAAGATCAAAATCAGGACTCCTGAGATAAAAATATTTGTAACTTTTACTTCACCTAAATTATGAACTATTTAATTAATAGTTATTAATTATTATTAGTGCTGGGCAATGATTAAAATATCTAATCGTGATTAAACGCATGGATTTTTTGCGATTAATCGCATCGTTATGGCAAAGTTCAATAATGAATTAAAAAGTAGTGTATTGTGCACTTTTATTTTGAAAGTACTGCTATATGAACAAAAGGTCAATAACATTTGGTTTGTAAACACTTTAAACACATCAGGTTCTTTTTAACAGCAGTATTCTCTTTACACAGCAGCAGTTAAACAGTTATAATGATTCTGATCATAGATATTCAGCCGGTGTTCACAACTTTATCTTCATGTGTGTAAGAGATGATATTTAAATATACACCTTGAAAACTGCAAACCTATCTACTTCTTTTTATGTTTGTTAAATTCTCAGTAGTGATAACTAAATGATGCTTATTATACATATTACAAACAAAACACTTTAAAAACTCGACAATATGTATTTTAATATTGTCACTGTTGTAAATTATTTGATTGCATGATTTACTTTTATTGTGAAGAGCATGAAAACGGAAGTGCTTTTACTTTGAAGAGACAGGAAGTAGAATGATACGTGTTCTTGATGCTAACAATGATGATAAGCAGAAAACCACATATCGGGTGCAAGAGCCCTTTGTGTTCACTGTAACACTGTAACACTGCAGTTCAGACAGTAAAGTGTTCCGTTCAAACAAGACGTGTCGTGTGTGTGTGTGTGTGTGTGTGTGTGTGTGCGTGTGTGTGTGTGTGTGTTTGTGAGACAAGAGTGAAGGACGATGACGCAGTGTAGGAGGGGTTCTGGACCCGGGGGGAGAAGGAAGTGACGCCACACAAACACAGCTGTTCACTGCTTGCTGCCTGGTTCTTGTGTTAAAAATGTCGCTTAATAATAAATAAATAAAAAACTGCGTTAACGCGCGATAATAACGCGTTAACTTGCCCAGCACTAATATTACATATTTATTATTAATTAATTAATTACTTATTTAATTATTAAAATAACGTGACAGGTTTTTGACTGATAATAATGAAATAAATAAAACTATTTATGAAGCACATTTTATACGTGTTAGAGAAAAGTGATTAAAAATGATAAAATGAAGAGTAAATAAATTAAAATGAACTAAAACTTCTGGATCTGTCACTTTGAATCTTAATTAAACTTCCGTCTCTTTTCATTTTAAATGGTAGACTTTGGCGTTTCTGACCTGCGCTCTCGTGCGATCCTTCGTCTCCGTCCTTCTTGCCGAGGGTGCCGTTGCGCCGCAGCGTTCGGTGCGTCACGCCGTGTTTCCTCAGCAGGTGGCGCTCACAGTTGGATTTGGTGGAGAAAAAGGCGTCGCACTTGGGACACGGGAACGGTTTCTGACCTGAGGAGAGACGGGGGGTTTCAGGGGGACGAACGTCAGGCCAACAGCGCTCTTATTTTGAAATTGAAGTTCGATTTTTTTTAATGAACTTTTCCAATAAAGAAGTTAATGTTACAGTAAAAGCTACCTCTAGTAGCTAATAGAAATAAAGACAAACCAACAAAAAGTATATTTTCTCATTTAGCAAACTTCATAGAAATACTAGTTGATTAAAAGTCCTTCTTGTGATTAGAGACTCTGCAGAGTTAACGTTCATCAGGAACTTCTATTCAGTCAAATGAGGCTTTGTCTGACTTTCTGCTAACATTTAACAAACCTCTGCCCAGATGTGTGTGTGTGTGTGTGTGTGTGTGTGTGTATTTACCGGTGTGGGTCAGCATGTGTCTCTGCAGCGAGCTGGCCCAGGGGAACACTCGTGGGCAGAAGGGGCAGGTCATCTTCTGGACTGAGTTGGAGTAGGCGTTCTTCTTCCCTTTGGGCTGCGGCCCCACCGGCGCCGGCTTCACCTCCTCCCTAGCTCCTCCCTCCTTGTCCTCGCCTCCTCCTGCTCGGTTTAGGTCTGTTCACAGGGAGAAAGGGTTTTAGCCTCAGGTTGTCTTTTTTTTAATCATCAGACCTGAGCTCAGCTGTCCGTCCTCTCACCTCTCTTTCCTCCCAGGTCTGCAGCTCCGTTCTGCAGGTAGGTGCTGAACTTGTTGGCGTCGGTGGTGGCGAGCATCTTCTCCACGCTGGCGAACTCGCCGCTGGACTCCAGGTCGATGCTGCCGCTCAGGACGGCCTTCTCCTTCACCGCCAGAGCAGCATGCTTCTTCCTGGACCGCTTTCTGTCAGACAAACACACAATAACATTTTATTTACTTTACTTTGGCGCCACCTGGTGGTACAATCAGGAATCATCATGTCATTTACAGAGAAAAGTAGGAACCAAACAGGAAGTTAGAAGACCTTCTTTTCCCTCTCAGGCTCCTACAACTGTTTCTCTTTGGTTCCTTATTTACAGTTTTTTCCTGAAAAAGACTTGACTACGAACTCATTAATGATTTGATCTATAAAATGTGGTAAAACAGTAAAATAATGTAAAACGGACAGAAAGCAAAACCTTCCTCACATTATAGAACCTGTAATGATTGAGTACTTTTGTAATTGATTCATAAACTAATTGTAATAAAGGATTATTTATCCTGCGAAAGTTAAACAGACATATAAAGAGCTCTGAGTTATTTGAATGATTGATTAGTTATGAGTGAAGCTCACAGACCTGGAGGAGCCCTCAGACGGTTCCTCGCTCTGCGTCTCCAGGACAGACGAGGGTCCCGGGACGTCTGCAGCCGAGTCGACCAGAGATGGAGCGACGGGTTTCACCTCCTCTCTCTTCAGCAGGTCCGGCGCTCCGGAGACGGAGTGGATGATCTGAGCGATGGAGGCCAGAGGGGGGAGCTCCTTGAGGGCGGAGGAGGAGGGCGGTTTGGGGAGCAAGGGTTTGAGGCGCTGGGCTCGCGCGGAGTTGGGGAGGGAGGCCAGGGGAGGGGTGGATCCAGGGGGCAGCTGGTAGCAGCCCAGCTGTGGGTGGGGGTGCAGAGGAGGCAGGATGCTCGCCGCCTTCTCCTCCTTGGACAGAGCGAGAGCCTGCTGCTCCACGATGCTGATGCCGCTCGGCTCCACCTTGATCTCCCTCTTGTCCCTCGTCTCCCGCTCCTCCCCCCTCCGCTGCCTCTTGCTGGGGACGGACAGGTCAATGGGCTGGTCCAGGACGGAGCAGTCGAAGCTGGGGGAGACGCTCTCCAGTTTGACACCGGGGGACCCCGCCAGGCTGCCACTGCCGCTGGCGCTGCTGGCGCTGCCAGCACCAGCAGTGCGACCCTTGGCGGAGAAGTCCAGCGGTTGGTCCAAGTCGGCGGCGTAAACCGCGTTGGTCAGCTCCTCCACCTTCACGGCGTGGAGCGCCGTAATCGAAGGCTGACCAAACCCGTTCTGCGTCGTGGGAGCTGCTCGGGCGGCGGTCACGGTGGGCGCGCCGGCAGGAAGCAGCGTGGCGATGTGGTCTTCGATCTCCCTCTCCTGCACCTCGGGGTGCTGCTTCAGCAGGTGGTGGATGCAGTTGCGTTTGGCCAGGAAAGCGGCGCCGCAGCGCCGGCACTCGAAGGGCTTCCTCTGGCAGCCATTGTGCGTGCGCAGGTGGATCTGCAGCGCCCGGTATGTCTTCAGGTCCTCGCCGCAGAACCGGCACGTGGTCTCGGCTCCGGTGCAGCCCGTCTCCGTGTCCTGGTTGGTGGTGGTGGTGGTGGTGATCGGCGTGGCGAGGCTGCCCGTGGTGGTGGAGGTGACGTACTTGATGTTTCTCTCGATCTCCTTCCTCGAGGTCTTGGCGTGCTTCTTCCTGAGGTGGCGCTCGCAGTTGGCCTTGACGGTGAACGGGTAGTGGCAGACGCGGCAGACGTACGGCCGCTCGCCGCTGTGCGTCCGCAGGTGTCGGATCAGCGTGGCTTTGTCCGGCGCCACGTAGTCGCAGATGTTGCACTGGTGCGGGAGGATGCCGAGGTGGAAGCGCATGTGGGCCTGCAGTACGCCGGAGAACGAGAACACCTGGTCGCAGAACCGGCACGGGAACGAGCCTTTAGCCGAGCCGGCGTTGCTCCCGCCTTTGGCTCCCGGCTTTCTCCCGCTAAGCCCCGCCTCCTCGTGCCCTGCCGTGGTGGCGGCCGGCGGCGAATCGGACACAGGCGTGTGGGCGTCGCCCATGCACTCTGCGTCCAGCTGCCCTCCGTTCCCGGCTGAGGAAGAGGATGAGGACGATGAGGAGGGCGTTTTGAAGAGAGTCGGGGTGGGAGGCGGCAGGCTGGGGCTGATGCAGCCCAGCGAGGCCTGGCCGGGGCCGGGGGGGGGGGGGGGAGTGGTCGCTGTGAGGCTGGAGCGAGGGGTGATGGGAGGTTTGGGCTTCAACGGGGGCATCGCCTTCTGGACTTGACCTGCAGGAGGAAGAAACAAGAGTTTCTTTGGTGATTCTACCGTCAAATCTGTTCACAAACTAACTGATTGGCTGATCGATCGATCGATTGATTGATTGACAGCTCCGGGGGGGGGGGCGACACCCACCTTGACCTCCGGCGAATCCCGGAGCTTTGGCCAGCGGCGGGAGCGTCAGTCCCATCTGATTGGGCGCCGCGCTCGCCACTCTGAGGATCTGCTGGATGTCGGCCAGCTCCATGAGCCCGGCTCCTCTGGCCTCACCGGGTTTGAACCCCGACGAGGCTGCGCCGGCGGTCGCGGCGCCGCCACCGTCGGGCTGCAGGAGGAAGCCACTCTGGAAGGGCTGCAGGGAGAGCAGGCTCATGGCCTCCCTCTGGGAGAGGCCCTGCAGGGCGGAGGCGGAGCCAGAGGCCTCCAGCAGCGGGATGCTGAGGGCTGCCAGACCGCCCATTCCTAGAGTCAGACCCAGACCACCGGACAGGTAGGCCGAGGCCGGCTCCTGGGGGAGGCTGGAGGACGGCGGCTCCACGTGGATCACCTTGATGCTGTCCAGGTGGGCTTGATGGATCTCGTCGTCCGTGGGTCCAGACTTCACCTGAGAAACAAACACAGCGTCCATCAGAGGACGGAGCCTGGAACCCCAGAACCCACCGGCAAGATGGAGGAGCATGTTTCCTTCAAACAATCGCCAAAACTACACCGTTTATCAGCCAGAAGCTGTGAGCACTGTCATAATTTCGGCAGATTATCATCTTTCCGAAGTCATTTGTCATTTGAAAATCAAGACCACAGAGAGAAAAATGTGAAAGAAAATTACCTTAGAAAAGTGCCGGAGACCCAACGCCTCCAGGAAGCTGTGCTGCTCCGAGAGTTTTTTCTCAACATCTGGACTGTCGACGCTGTTTTCTGCAGCTCCATCTTCATCTTCATCTTCCTCTTCCTCCTCCTCCTCCTCCTCCTCCTCTTCTTCCTCCTCCTCCTCCTCTTCAATCTCCTCAATCTCCATGTCCCGTGTGTCAGAGGGTCTATCGGGGTGTGAGATGGTTTTATGGAGGTCCAGGGCCGAGCGGAGCGGAAACGCCTTGTCGCAGCAATCGCAGACGAACCGGTGGAACTTGCTGATACAGCGACGAAGGTTTGTCTCACACCAGACCTGCAGAGAGAGAGAGAGAGAGTGAGAGAGAGAGGGTGGGGGGGGGGGGTTAATTCTGACCCTTTAAAAACCTGACGTTGTGTC